GGCTGGGTTTGAACCTGCCACCCTCGGTATATGGGGCCGGCGCCTTACTCACTGAGCCACAGGCACCTCCCAAAAATTTTTTTCTTTTTTTGAGACAGAGTTTCAAGCTGTCGCCCTGGGTAGAATGTGGTGGAGTCACAGCTGACAGTAACCTCAAACTCTTGGGCTTAAGCAATTCTCTTGCCTCAGCCTCCCAAGTAGCTGATACTACAGGTGCCCACCACGAAGCCTGGCTATTTTTTTGTTGCAGTTGTCACTGTTGTTTTAGCAGGCCTGGGCCAGGTTCGAACCCAACAGCCCTAGTGCATGTGGCCAGGGCTCTACCCACTGAGCTACAGGCACCACCCAGTCTTTTAAATTTTATTAGATTTGTTTTATAGCCTAACATAAGGTCTTTCCTAAAGAATGCTAGATGTACACTTGAGAAGAATTTGTGTTCTGCTACTCTTGGACGGAGTGTTCTGTGTGTCTGGTAGGTCCATTTGGTGTACAGCTTAAAGTCCTTTCTATTGATCTCCTATCTAAATGTTCTACCCATTTTTGAAACTGGGGTGTAACAGTCTCCAACTATTACCTGTAGAACTCTCTATTTCTCTCTTCCGTTCTGTGAATGTTTCCTTCATACATTTTGTGGTCTATCATTTACTGTGTTTATATTCAGAATAGTTAAATCTTATTGATGATATAACCCTCTTATCAATATATAATGTCCTTCTTTGTGCTTTATAACCATTTTTTAATTTAAAGTCTATTTTGTCCAATATTAGAATAGTCACCTGGCTCTCTTTTGGTAACTACTGCACCCTTTCACTTTCTTTTTTTGTTGTTGTTTTTGTTTTGTTTTTGAGACAGAGCCTTACTTTGTCACCCTCAGTAGAATGCCCAGGTGTCATAGCTCACAGCAACCTCAAACTCTTGGGCTCAAGCAATTCTCTTGCCTTTTCCTCTCAAGGAGTAGCTGGGACTACAGGTGCCTGCCACAATGCCTGGCCATTTTTTTTTTCTTTCTTTTTTTTTTTTTAGAGAGAGGGTCTCGCTCTTGCTTGCTCAGGCTGGTCTCTAACCTATGAGTTCAGGCAATCTACCTGCCTCGGCCTCCTAGAGTGCTAGGATTACAGGTATGAGCCACTGCACCCACCTTCTCACTTTCAATTTATTTGTGTCTTGGGATCTAAAGTGAGGCTCTTATAGACAGCATATAGTTAGATCATATTTTGCCTCTGGCAATTTTTCTTTTTTAATCGGTGAATTAAATTCATTTAAAGTCATCACTAATAAGAAAGACTTGCTTGTGACATTTTGTTATTTCTTTTCTATATATCTTGTATCTTTTTGCCCCTTTATTCGTCTAATCTTGCCTTTTATGTGTTTGGTTTTTTCTAGTATATCAATTTTATTCACTTCTCAACTCCTATATATTTTGAAGTTACAGTTGACCCTTAAACAATACAGGTTTGAACTGTAGACATTCACTTATATATGAATTTTTTCCAACCAAAACCAAATACAGTGTTTATTGGATGCAAAACCTGCCTATATCAAGGGCCGATTTTTCCTGTGTGCAGACCAAGAGCAGAACTTGAGTATAAGCAGATTTGGGTATATACTTCGGAGTCCTGGACTAATCCCCTGCTTATACCAAGGGATACTGCATTTTCTCCGTGGTAATCCTGGGGATTACAATTAGCATGCTAAACTGATGATAATTTACTTGGAATTGATACATTAGCTTTAATAGCATACAAAAACCTTGTTCCTATCCAGCTCCAATTTGTATACATTTTTGGGGTACCTCTGATATTTATAATTATTGTTTTATAAATTTGTCTTTAAGAAACAAATAGAGATGTTACAAACAAAAAATAAAACAATACTTTTATGTTTACCTATGAAATTACCTTTACTGAAATTTAATATTTTTTATTTCTTTGTATGACTTTGAGTTACTATCCAGTATTCTTTGCTTGTCTACCTTTTATTCAAACTTAGACATAGTCTCTAGAAAGCATCCTTAAATTTCTACATTGAGCTAAGTGCCTCTTCTTTATATTACCATAGGACTTCTGCATAATACTCTTGCACCAATCACCACCTTCCTGAAATTACCTGCACTGTCTTTACCCTCAGTAATTTGATACCAGTTGTGTATAGAATGCATTGTCTTCAGGAACATTCTCATTACTGTAAATCTCAGCCAGAGGGGCACAATGTCCTGAACCCCTTAACTTGGTTGAGGGCAGCCACATTAAACTGTAGGCTCCTCTTCTGTATTCCTAAAGCCTAGAACAACAATGCCTGACATTTAATAATTTCATACTGAACATAGTTAGTACATGGGCCTATAAGAGTTGGGTAATACATACAAAGACACAAAATAGTCAATAACAAAATAAATATCACAATCTTACTTTTCACTTTAGCAACTTACGCTCTGGTTGTTTTTCATTGGGTGTTATGGATCGTACAAAATCTTCTGGAGTCATAAACACTTCTGTTTCACCAGGCTCATTGATTACTTTCAAGGTGGCAAAATATCGGAAGATTTTGTCTGGTGTGGAGTAGGCTCGAATCCTATTCTCATATTCCATCACCTGAAGTTTGAAATTTAGAAAGTGTTACTATATTAAGCAGTACTCCTATGCTAATACAGTCTCATTGTCATTGCTCATCAATTCCCATATATTTCCCAGATTATTTGCAGGGAAATGTTATTTGATTTTTCTCTATAATTTGATTTTTTTATATTACAAAGAAACTTGAATTTCAAAAAGTTTTTAGTGCCTTTCTTACAAAATAGCATTTATATTGTAGTTAAGGCAATATTTACAAAACTTCTGAGTGGAACATCTTTAGGAAGAATTTTCTGTTTTCCTGAGTTACTGGAGACTAGTAAAATTGAAAAATGTTATAAGAGATTTAGGGTGGCACCTGTGGCTCAAAGGAGTACGGTGCCGGCCCCATATGCCAGAGGTAGCGGGTTCAAACCCAGCCCCGGCCAAAAACTGAAAATAAATAAATAATGTTATAAGAGATTTCAAAAGATCTCAGTAATAGAGTACAATGCCCTATAGGTTCTTAAATATTACATGTTTAAAAAGGGGGTGATTTGATAGCTCTTACTGCTATGCAATTTCCTGACTCCTACACAAAACAGACTTCAGACTCCCTAAGTTTGAAAAACTAGTAGCAGGGCTTCAAAGACAAAGTACACTAAACAATGGCATAGAAAAATAAAATTACATATTATGCAAGCTCAATTATTTACAGGTCTGAAGCAATAGGCTTTTACTTTTGACTACAAAACTGAACAAACTGCCAGAGATCCTTTACACATGGCATATTAAGAAGGGAGAAGAGCTGGGAGGCACAAAAGCAAATGTTTGAATAGCAACAAAATTAAGTACGGCATTAACATGAAAGCTCATACAAACCCTCGTTCTACACAAGAAGCATACAAAATATTACATCAGTCACATAATATTATAGCGAAAAATTTTCTCTCATACCTTAATTTTATATGTTGAGATAGCCAACAAAAATTAGTATCTTATAAATAACTGGCTAGAAAATGTGTTAAGGCACTAAAATCTAAAAACCCATCAGTTCAATGGCCATAAAGCTATCACTAACATCCAAAAAACATTATTAATGTTTTAGATTTGTCACATTGACACAGCAATTACTATAACTGTCAGTCCTGGCTGGATGTCACTTTGAGGTCATGGGCAGCAGCTGTTCAGCATTGGTCTTAATTCCACTAGCACATGCACTTTTAGCAACTGAGAAAAGACTGTTAATTTCTAACTACACATGACGGGAATCTTGTCAATGCTAACTTGCATTAAAATCTGAAGAGATTTCAGAATAGACTCTATCAGAAGATCGAGCATGTGACAACACACTAAAGAGCTTCTCAACCTCTTCACGGCCTTAAAACCCAGCCTCAAGGCTTAAATCAAAGGCATTTCATATTATACTACAATAGTCTGCTGGGAAATAATGGTGACAGAAAAAAATACCTTTCTTTATGCCATCTATATTCCTGTTCTTTTTCTGAATAACGACAAAAAAGAAGGAAAAAAATTTTTGGAATGAAACCGTAACTACTATCAAAGAGGAGTCTATGAACTAAAAAGTTAAGCCAATCAGATGCAAGGTAAAGGCAGAAAGGTAACAACTTAAAAGACAAAAATTTTAAGTGAAAATCAGACTCTTTGATTATCATAGAGTCAGTAAATTATGTATTGAATATTATTAAAATAATCACAATTTGGCCCACTGTTTGTGATACTTTGCCTTATTATTAATATATATCCAATGGTTTTATATGGCTATAAAGGTTTATTTTGAAATAAGAGATCAAAGAGAGTGACTTAATGTACCCTCCACATTGGTGGAATTTAGTATAGATATGCTGTATAGTATTTATTTTACTTTTTTTTTTGACTTACATCATATTCTGAAGGTCATTCCATGTCAACTGACATGATATGGCCTTCTTTTAACTGGCTGTGTTAAAAAGAACCCTAACAAACTATCATACAAAGAGTCAGAATATAGCATGCAAAATAGCAAAGGCTTGGAAGTAGGAACATATAGAAAACTGTTGAAGGATTTTGGGATATCTAGCCTAGAGAAGAGACTTACTAAGGGCATTATGATAGTTTATTCAATCATTTACAAAATTTTCTGGACCATCATTATGTTAAGACACCAGTCTTCAATAAAACTGCCAGACTTCATTAAATCAAAATTCAGGTATTATTTTTCCTAAATGAACTGCACCAAAGAATAGTCAAATAGTACTTAGAACCTAATAGACAAGGGATAGTGTCTCTTTATGAAAATATTCCAATTAATGAAAAGATTTGATAAAATTAGAATATCACCCTTTTTGTAACCCCAATGAATTAACACATCTAGGTAATGAACATTATTAATAGCTGCTAGTATCACAAAAAGAAAAGCAAGTAGACATTAGGTGCCTCATGACAAGAGAACATAATACCACCTCTCATCTTGCCACAGGGATCAAACCTGAGTGAAGTGAGCCTCACAATCCAGCTGCCAATATTCAGGTAATTATAGAGTATAGAGGACCATTCTGAACTGCACTGAGAATAAGCATCAGCAAAGTCCAGACCCTAGGAAACTTTATAGGTTGAATAGCCTGGGTTCTGTCATCTGCAGATTAAGAAACTTAAAAGACATATCAAAACAAAATCGGCAACATTAAACTATGTATAGGAATGCGCACTTGAGTGATAAAACTATAAAGAACAAAAGGAAATGGTTACTACAGAAGTTATTTTAGTGGTTTCCTATATCTATGTTTATTTTATAATAAAACAATTATTTTTTAAAAATTCATATTCTATATAATGCTAAATAGCAGAACTAGACTCATGGGACCACATAAAAGTTACAGACAAGATTTTAGCCTAATAAGGAAGAACTAATAGTAAGAATATTCCAAAATGAAGAAGAGAGTTCCTGAGCACAGAAGGTATGCAAGTGGAACATGAATAAGCACACAAAGATCATCGTTATGATTATCTTACCTAAGAAAGAGGAGCTATGAGGGTCACCCATATTTAACAAATGCTGTCATCTTTTAGTTTATCATTATTTACCTCTACCTCACAAAACAAAAAAGCAGATGAACCAATAAAAAGTAAGTCCATGCTCTGAAGTTGACTTTTAGGAAGAAAAGTACTTTTTTCCTTTGAGACAGGGTCTCACTCTGTCACCATGCTGGAAGTACCATGGCACAATCATAGCTCACTACATCCCCAAACTCCTGGGCTCGCAAGCCTCCTTCCTCAGCCTCCCCAGTAGCTAAGACTATAGGTACACACCACCAGTCAATTTTCCAAATTTTTTCTTTTCTTTTTTTTTTTTTAAGACAAGAGTCTTACTTTGTTGCCCCCTGTAGAGTACTGTTGCATCACAGCTCATAGCACTCAAACTCTTGGGCTTAAGAGGATCCCTTGCCTCAGCCTCCCGAATAGCTGGGACTACAGGCGCCTGCTACAAAGCCTAGCTATTTTTAGAGACGGGGTCTCTCTCTTGCTCAGGCCGGTCTCAAACCCATGAGCTCAGGCAATCCACCTGCCTCAGCCTCCCAGAGTGCTAGGATTACAGGCATGAGCCATAGTGCCCGGCCTTAAATTTTTTCATACAGAAGGAGTCTGGCTCTGTTGCCCAGGTTGGTCTCAAACTCCAGGTCTCAAGCAATCCTACCACTTCAGCCTCTCGCTGAGATTATAGGCATTCCCACCAGGCCTGCCCCCAAAAGCACATTTTTGTAACTACACAAAAAAAATTAGGAAGAAAAAAGTGAACTTTTCTTGATTGTGATCTAACAACTTTAAGTGGCATGGACCAATAATGAATGATATCCCTCCTCCATTTTTAATAGTAGAAGCAAGGAGGAAAGAATATAAAAAGGATAAGTCTACCCAATTTGGTACTATTTACTATGATGAGTTACCCTGCTTAACTCAGATGGTGCTTTGAAACTCTACTCCTTCTCCTTTGACTTAGCTACTGATCTGTAGGTCCAGGAGTTAACAAAAGCCTGTATGTTTTAATTGTTTGATTCAGTTGGTTTAGACACGTGGGGACGATGGGGGAAGAATAAGCTCTTTCTACAGTTAAAAAGAGTTCTATTTTCTCCTGGTTCTGATACCAAGTCTGTGGCTTAATACTGGTATAATGTCCAAGGAAGACCAAGGATATAATGTCTTGAACCCATTATGAACGTAAGTGACAGTGATCCCTTTGGGATCTAATGTCAGAAATAATGCATAGGCATGGAATGCAGACTGGGGCCAGACCTGGAACAAGCAGCAGGCATAAAGTTTTGTAAATATGTTATGTGGCTGGCGCATTTTCTCTCAAGAGGTGACTTATACACTAATCTGTCACTCAACAGTCTCATTGGGCATAAAGTAAATTCATTTTTGGTAGTAAAATTAATAACAAACAATAAAAGTTCCTGTACTAGCATTCTTAAGTGTCACTCAAAATAAGTCCCAACATTATAAATTTTTTCATTTACAGTAACTCCTTGATAGAAAAGCATTATCTATGAAATTTCCTCCTCCTACATATTTTTCCCATGTAGAAAAATCCCTGTGGCTTTGATTCTTGGCCTTATTTTAAAAACAAGCACATTAGTTAGAGTAGGTTAAAATGCTATTATAGATATGCCTCAAAATACAATTGTTCAAATAAAATGAAAATGTATTTCTCGCTAAAGTAAGATCTACAGTGCATGTTCCCATTTGGCAGGAAATCACACAATCCCTTTGGGTACTCAAGGCAGCCAACATGTGGTTTCCAAGTTCTAGTCATCAACATTCCTTCTCAGGAAAGAGAAAGAGCATTGAAAAACCTTATAAACCAGGCCTAACAGTGGCTCAAATCACTCCCATTCAATGGAAAACTAACAATTTCCACCACAATGGAAAAAGGTAAAAATCAAGCCTCAGGATCACATTTTGAAATCCTGAGATTACTAACATGGCATGACACTAATTGACCTAAGTATACTATGAGCAATCTTGTAACCAAAAAATGTTATGTTAGAAGAATGCAATAGAAGGAGCAAGGGTTTTGGAGTTAGAGGTGAGGAGAGGGGAGCAGAGGAGAGGAAAACAATTAGAAATTCTGGAAATTTAGAATATTATCATTGAAATTTAAGAAACAGTTTAAATGGCATAAATTGTAGAATACATACAGAGAGAGAATGAATGAGAAAATAATAATTCAAAAATTAATCCTTAAGGTAGCATAGAGCTTCTGAGAAAAAAAAATCTGAAAGAGCAGTTAAAATATATTCAGGATAGGCTGTGAGGATTCAACACACACTTAACAGGGATTCCAAAAGAAGAAACTCAAGGGAATGGCAGCAAAGCAACACTAAAGCAAAATGTGAGAATTCCCCAGAACTGAAGAAGTTTCAGAAGAGACAATACAACAAAATAAAATAAAAATTTAAAAAGAGAATCAAAACTAGGCTGGGCGCAGTGACTCACTCCTGTAATCCTAGCACTCTGGGAGGCCAAGGTGGGTGGGTTGCCTGAGCTCACAGGTTCAAGACCAGCCTGAGCCAAAAGCAAGACCCCATCTCAAAAAATAGCCGGGCATTATGGTGGGTGCCTGTAGTCCCAGCTACTCGGGAGGCTGAAGCAAGAGAATCTCTTGAGCCCAAGAGTTTGAAGTTGCTGTGAGCTATGACGCCACAGCACTTTGTCACTCCAAAAGGTGACAAAGTGAGATTCTGCCCCCCCCCAAAAAAAAGAGAGAGAGAGAGAGAGAACCACAACCAATGAAAAACAAAGTAAGAAAAGCATGGGTAGGTGTTAATAATAATACCATGCCATGAACTAATATAACTGCCTCAACTCTTTGTACCCGAGGATTTTCATAAATTTAAAATAAAATGAAACACACAAAATAACCAGGCCATGCACAAGAATGACAAATAGCAAATTCAGGATACTGGTTCACCTCTGAAGAGGATAGGAGAGAACAGGATTGGGGAGGAGTATATAATCAATGTAATTTTTATATTCATTTCTTTTATTAAAAAAAAATCTGAAGTAAATATAGCAAAATATTAAAACTTAATAAAATTGAGTGTTATATACATGAATGTTCATTATATTATTATCTATTTTCTCAGAATATTTGAAGTATTATATAAAAATCAAGTGCACATAAAAGAAAAAAAGCAAACTATTTAATGAAAAGTGAGGATGTACAATTGACAATTCATGGAATCAACCTAAATGCCCATTAACGCATGAATGGATTAACAAACTGTGGTATATGTATACCATGGAGTACTATTCAGCCATAAGAAAAGATGGAGACGGCTCAGTGCCTGTAGTTCAGTGGTTAGGGTGCCAGCCACACACACCGCGGCTGGCGGGTTCAAACCCAGCCTGGGCCTGCTAAACAGCAATGACAACTACAACAAGAACAAGAACAACAACAACAACAAAAAATTGCCGGGCACCTGTAGTCCCAGCTACTTGGGAGTCTGAGGCAAGAGAATCACTTAAGCCCAAGAGTTCGAGGTTGCTGTGAGCTGTGACACTACAGCACTCTACCAAGGGTGACACAGTGAGACTTTTGTCTCAAAAAAAAAAAGAAAAGATGGAGACTTTACATGTTTTATGTTCACTTGGACGGAGTTAAAACTATTTCAAGAATGGAAAAAAAAATCCAATGTACTCAATACTAATATGAAACCAATATATAAACAACTATATACCCACATAAAGGATAAAACACAAACACTGCCTAGCAAGAGGGAGGAGAGAGAAGTGAGAGGGGAAGGAGGGAAGGAAGGTGACTGGTGGGATCTTGCCTAATGTGCACCATGTAAGGGTGTTCAACATAGCCCCTGAGTGAAGGGCTCAACTACAACTAGAACTTTACCATAGAGATGAAAACAATGTAAAAATTTATACTCTTATCTTAATCTGAAATTTTAAAAAAAAAGTGAGGATATGGAGGGACCACTGGGCCCTAGCAGAAAAGAAAGAAAATGAATGGAAAAGTAGCAAGAGAAAAATACACGATCAAAAATGTGGTTTAAAGAGGACTTGATGTGGTACCACCATTTCTTCTGCCTTCAGTCTCTGTACCTCTCACTGAGCTTCCAACAGTGCTGTGCTGGGACAGAGCATCCAGAAGTTAACAACCTCTGGGGTCTGTAGGAGTGGCTATTAGGAGGGCCCAGGGAAGAATGTTCTATTTTCAGTAGAAAATAAGTGGTGGTTACCAATTATGACAACTTCATACTTTGGATCTGGATCTGCTGCCCATTTTTTTTATAGTAAGATACCAACTGCTTAAGAAATAATACCATAAAATAGATATGAAGAGTATTTTAAGAGATGCAGCCTCGAGACACCAGGGGAGCCAAGTGCACCTTCCAGCTTCTGGAGCCAGAGGAGGCCCAGCATGTCCAGCCCCCAGCTGCCAACCCCCTGCCTGTTGTGACCATGCTATTCTGCCTGCTAAAAGACCAGGCCAAGCAATGAACACAAGGAGCTACAGGAGAAGAGGAGGTGTGAGGCTATCGCTGCAGCCTTCTGTCCTGCGTGACAGAAGCTTTGGTGGATCACCTCAATGTGGGAATGGCCCAGGCCTACATGAACTAGAGAAAGGTAGGCCATGAGGTGAAGACCCTACAAGTTCAGGCTGCCCAGTTTGCCAAGTAGAAAGGCCAGTGGATTAGGATGGTGGAGAACTTCAACCAGGCACTCAGGGAGATCGGCGATGTGGAGAACTGGGCTCGGAGCATGGAGCTGGACATATGCACCATTGCCACCACACTGGAATACATCTACAAAGGGCAGCCGCAATCTGCCTTCTCCTAGTACCTATGCCCCCCATCCCTCCTACCTCACCCACAGGGCAGGAGGGAGAACTAACCGGCCATGAATAAAACATGGCCTCTGTTAAAAAAAAAAAAAAAAGAGATACAGCCTCTTTGAAAAATAGATCCAACTCCTGAACTCCTATAGGATACTAGATATGTCTTTAATAAACTTATAACACAGCCAGGAGCAATGGCTCATGCCTATAATCCTAGCACTCTGGAAGGCCAAGGCAGGATTCTTTGAGCTCAGAAGTCAGAGATCAAATTGAACAAGAGCGAGACTCTGCCTCTATTAAAAATAGAAAAAACTAGCCAGGGTTTGTGGCTGGCTCCTGTAGTCTCAGATACTGGGAAGGCTGAGGGAGGAGCATCACTTGAATCTAGGAGTTTGAGGTTGCTGCAAGATAGGCTGACACAACAGCATGCAAGCCTGGCAACTGAGTGAGACTTGTCAAATAAAATAATAACATAAAACATAAGACAACATGAAATAACATAACATAAAATAAACTTACGACATTAAAATGTGGGGTTTTTTAAATTATATAATAATCCTTAATCTATCCATATAAGCTTTGTAAAAAGAAAGAATAGACAAAGAATAACTGTAGAAACAGGAGAGAGAAGAGTAATGAAACAGATTCATAGGCAGACATGATTCTCCTTCAACAAAGAAAAGACAGCTCTTCCTCTGAGATGTCAGTGAAAGAAATAAGAATTATTTCAGACATAGATGAGTTTATACAGCTACAGAAGTTGGAAATTAGGTAAATCACACTGATAGCTTTATTTCTTTCTGTAAAGTAGGAGACATGGTCATCTGCTGAGCAGAAGGCAGGAATAGAAAATGGAAGTAGCTTCAAAAATAAATGTTGATTTGGCTCATTTTTAGCTCTACTTTATAAAGTGGAAAATATGACTTGTAAACGTAGCTTGCACAAGGTAAAGTTGAGCCTTCTTTGAATTCACTCAAGGCAAAAGAATACATAAATGTATCCTTATAGAAAAGCTAGGATATTTGATGATTAACTTAAGACACAAAATTTTGTTCAAATTCATCTCAAGAAATGAACTTCGGAGTAAGAAGACATATCTAACATCTTCTTCTAAACAAACCAGAATGAAGATCCAAATTTCCCAAAGAACTCTTCTTGAAACACACACAAGACACAAACAACACAAAATAAAATATCTTGTTGCATTATTAGCTATAGTTTAGCAATTTAAAGGAATTCCCTGAATTTTAACCTAAACATGCAAAATGTCTAAGAAATTCATCCTTTTAATGGTTCACCACTCATGTCTGTTCAATTCAAATGCCTAATATCAGAGGCATTACTATAGTAGAATTGAAAGTTTTCTGAGGTAAAGCTACGTAACAGCAGGTTGTGTTAATTACATAAATCTTGACAGTCATTTGAAGTTTGTGCTGTCCTCAGAGTTTCTTAGTTTTCTGGAAATTATATGTTTCCAAAGAGATTTTATTCTCCCTTTAGAACTTGATACCATAAACCAGAAATACCATTAAGACTCACATGATAACATACTAGGAAGATCCAGAAACCAAAATAACCTTAGGCAAGTGAATTGAAAGAAGAAAGAATAAGCTAACCATTGTCATGACTCTAGAACAATGGTTCTCAACCTTCCTAATGCCGCAGCCTTTTAATACAGTTCCTGTGGGTCACGACTCACAGGTTGAGAACTGCTGCTCTAGAAGAATCCTTTACCTACTCACTTTAACTTCACATTGCAAGAGTACTTTTGGCTTAGGGCATGACAAAAAATAACTTGGAAGTGAATGTGAACCATCTGAAATGTGTGATAAAAATTATTGAGCTTCATTATTCTACTGTGAAATTCAGTTTTGATTAACTTATAAGATTGTATATCATACTTTTCTGTCTCTGAATCCAGAACGTTTCTTCTTTTTCTCTTCTGGAGGTGGCTCAAGATCTGCAGTCTTTTTTTCATGGTTACAAACTTCCCCTTCATCTTTATTCTTCCCTTTATCACCAATTTCAGTCTTTAGATTATTTACAGATGGTGGAGATTCTGCATGGGCCCTGGATATGCAAAAAAGAAATCTGGATTAATCATGAAGGTTCACCTTACAGTACCAAATAAGCAAGGAGATCAGCTTAGCAGGAGCAACAGCAATGAAATTTGTCGAATTTTCTACATGAAGAAGTAGAACAACCCTATCTCTGGAAATGTAATCAAAAGAACTGACAGCAGGGTCTCAAAGACCAAATTTATTTTATAAATAAATAATGCACACATGTTCATCACAGCATTAATCACAATAGCTAACATGGAAGCAACTCCAATGTCCACTGGCAGATGAATGGATAAATAAAATGTAATATATACATATAATGGAATATGATTATGCCTTTAAGAAAAAGGAAATCCTATCACATGCTACGTGGTTGAACCTTGAGGACAGTAAGCTAAGTGAAAAAGCCAGTCATGGCTTGGCGCCTGTGGCTCAAGTGGCTAAGGCACCAGCCACATACACCTAAGGTGGCGGGTTC